CATCTTCAAAGGAAGGGAAGGATACAAGCGAACGACATAAAGGACCTCTACAAACATCAAGAACTTTAAAAGATTGTTGAGAAGAAAGCGAAGAATATGGGACCGCGCCCAACCCTGCAATTTCTTCCTGCATTAATCAAGCTTAGCCTCACAGAATTGGGCTTTAAATTAGGCTTCACGCAGGAAGGATGGATACACGATCACTTCATCCAAGGCGCAGACAAGCGCACGTGCTAAAGAAAACCAGGAGTTTTGCACTTCATCACTAATCGAAGATCAGGCACATACGCTTTCGCCGAGGAATCAAAGATCAGGTGGACCGGGCGGGCAGGGTCGTTCCTACCGTTGCGGCTTTTCCGAAATTTTTTAGACCCCCCACCAATCAAAAATTTCACGACCCCCCCCCTTCACCACCCTCGCCATCATGGTCGCTGTTTCTATAGTATTTAATTCTCATAAGACCAGTCGACACACCTAACTCCACCCACTTTTCCCTCCAAAACAGCCGTCGGTCAGGGTGGGGGGGGGGGAGGTGTATACGTACACTGCAACGAAAAACTTTTTCTCCCTCTTCTCTCGCTCCTTCACACTACACGCCTAAACTCACCCATCACTTCTAGCATTACATCGAATACGATCCCCCACCTACAATCTCAACAAAATACGACCCCCTCCCCGTTGGTACTTGTCGCAACATAGGATTGACCCTGCCGGTGGGTCATGCGAATATGCGATGACGGGTGATGGTGGACCAGAGTACTTGCCTAACCTTTTCGGAAGTTAAACGAATACCTGGACGACCACCAGCCTGATGGTCAGACTTCTTCACGAAATTTGTACAAGAGAGAAGTTATAAGTTTCGTGTCCCTTGAACGGGGGTGGGGGGCTCACCAGAGAACTCTGACAGCGACACGGATGAATGGATTCGCTGCTGTCACCAAGACTTTGATGAAAGTGATTCACCGGTCATCCAAGGACATTATTTCAGGAACGGAACCTGCTATCCAGCTGAATTTTATTAATACTCTTCATTCGATTGACATGCCGAATCTGAAAATCCTCTATGCACCCACCTCTGGTAATTTCGCCATCCGCTGGTGCTCGAACATCAATTTCACTCTTGCGGAATGCGAGAGAATGAATAAGATTAGGCACAATGATTTTGTCATCGACGGCTTACCCTGCGGTGAGTATATTTGAAAGTAAAAACCTAATCATGCTGTATCGGAATTTTTAGATCAGTGGTTCGAATATAAGCGGCAGTATCAGAAATTCCTTGAAATGGACCCTTCACGCCTTTGTTAGTGTAACAATAAATTTTCATCTATAAATCGCAAATGAGCTTTTCTTCATCCCTGAGTCATCGAAGGCAGTGGTATTACTGAAAACGGGCAGCGATATCGTGATATTCTTGGTTTCTTACAATTTCCACGAGTGGTGCAAACCAAGATTGTCACACCGAAATTTGAAGTAGAGTCTTGCTTGATTGTGGTGATCGATACCCGTCCCAGGCCCGACCAATTAACTCATATCTCACAACTCAGCTTTTTAGAGTGTACACAATGGTGAGTACACCATGAAAAGCTGAGTTGGAGTGAAATGGTGCCCCGGTAGCGTAACTGGTAGCGCACTTGCCCGGAAAGCGAGAGGTGCGGGTTCTAGTCCCGCCTGGGGCGAAAGTTTTGTTCACAACCCAGCATTCTTGTGGAAAATATTCTCATATCGCTCAGTTACACATATAGTTGATCGTTACCAAAAAAATGAAAAACGTTAAAAAGTCATTTAAATATCATCTTTCAACTTGTGCGTACAATAGGCCGATGTCAGACTTTGCGAATCGCTAGCGTCTGCGGTCGCGTCGCGGCCAGTGAATCACTCAATTGGCTGGTACCGCAACGCGACCGCGGACGCTAGCGAATCGCGCGAATCGCTAGTAGCGAATCGCGCGATTCGCAAAGTCTGACATCGGCCATAATGATACAGCCACCTAAAATTTGTTCGAAAACTTAAAGTTCATAGAGTTTCTGAAAAACTGTTAGATAGAAAATGTGACAAATTTCATGGCGAGTTCAGATATCAACACAAAAATCCATGTTGAAAACACTAAAAAATTTTGTGCCAATTTTTTCAGAAGAGGTCGATTTTCCTATGTTCAAAAATGATACAGCCACCCCGTGTTTCTTCGTTGAAATTCATTTTGCTTCATGAAACTGATTCGCAGTTATCAGGCTTTCACCTTAATGTTCCCACAAGAGGAGAAAAGACAGTTGGATTTGAAAAAAGGTAAACTGTAAGAAAAAAGGGACCAGGAATCGTCAAGCAGTCATATTGCGCAAAAATTGAGTCAAAGCTCCAATACGGTTAACAATCTTTTCTGGAATCCTGTAGGTTATGGAACAAAAAGAGCTCTGGATGTTCATCATTGCTTTTTGGTCAAGTTAAACTTCGCATTTTTGGGGAAACATTTCAATTTCATCGAACAGTGCCCGGAATTTCAGTTTCGATGGATATTGTTTGGGACGTGATGATGATCTTCCCAGGTCATTCTTCAGTGGAGAAATGAAGAAACCTTGTTTGTGACAAGGAATTCTCTCGAAAACTGAGTCATTTTTTGCTCGAGAGTGTAGTAGCCACGTCCGACTGGAGCAAGATCTGTTCTTTTGACTGTTGTGCCCACCTTCTGTCTACGTTTCTCTCAATGTTTTTCGCTTTATAGAAGTCTTATGAAAGGGAAAAACCTTTTTAATGAGGAAGAAAAACTCGAAAGAAAGGTAAACAGAAAGTAAGACACAAACAGACAAAAGAACTGACTCTGCTTCAGTCGTACGTGGCTACACTTTCGAGCAAGAAATGTCTTAGTTTTCGAGGGAATTTCTTTTCACAAAAACAATCTTTGATTTCCATTAAGAATGACATCGGGAATCTCACCACTCCCCAACATATCCCTCGAAAGTCTAAATTTGCAGAAACTGGAATTCCGAAACCACGCCCGATGTTCCATAGCCTACAGGATTCCGAAGAAGATTGTTACCCGCATTGGAGCTTTGACTCATTTTGGAGCATCACGCCTGCTTGACGATTCCTGTTCCCTTTTTTCTTTCAGACTACCCTTATTTCAAAACCAAACTGCCTTTTTCATCTTGTGGGAACATTAAGGTGAAAGCCTGATAACTGCGAATCAGTTTCATGAAGCAAAAATGAATTTCAACGAAGAAACACGGGGTGGCTGTATCATTTTTGAACATAGGAAAATCGACCTCTTCTGAAAAAATAAGCACAAAATTTTTAGTTTTCGACATGGATTTTTGTGTTGATATCTGAACTCGCCATGAAATTTGTCACATTTTCTATCTGGACAGTTTTTCAGAAACTCTATGAACTTTGAGTTTTCCTAACCCCAAAAAAATTCTTTCAGTGCTTGCACATCATTATTGAACGTAGTGTAGCCGTTGCGGAATCCCTCGGCACAACGTCAACCTTCTCTTCACTGGAAGTCAAAACCATAGACGCATTCCAAATTCGATTGGTCACTTCTGAAGCTTTCAGTCTTCATTTAAAAATGAGATTCCAGTAGATTCTTTCCATGTAGGATTATAGACTCAAGCGGTCAAGTGATCGACGTAGAAGAAATTACTTAGGGTGCGCCATGAATTTTGTTTCGGGTCGGAATTGCAGAGATGTCGCAACAACAATTGTAGTATATGGGTAACCTAAGTCAGTTTTACTGTATCATCCAAGTTTAGATAACTTGTGAGTAATATCTCGGATTGAGATGGGGCCGCGTGCAGGTTGTAAAAGTGCATGCAGGTGCAGACTAGTATCCCTAGGTGTAACCTTAGGTACTTGAGATTCTCTCACATGGTCGTAAACCTAAGCCACGCCCCCATCTACTGTCGATCCGTCTTCTGATCGAGCTGATCAGTCAGTCTGGAGTTTTGCCGAGCTCACGGGATGTGAGCAGATCGGTCTCTCTCGGAAAACGAGAGGGGAGTTTCCCGAGATCGTTGCGGACGATTAGGTGATTAACTCTACGTGCTAGAGGGCTCCCCCTGACTCCGAAGCGTCGCCCGATGCGAGCTTCGTTCTCTTCACACCAGTTGAAGAGTGGATCTTTCCCCGTGTGGAAAGCAGTTGTGCAGTAGTTCGTACAAGACGACTACAGATGCACGTTGGCCTAAGCGTGGCTCACGCGATGGTCGCCCTTCTGTGTTCAGAAGGAAGTGTACGTTTGAACATCCTCAGCGAGAAGATGGTTCAATCGTACAAGATGGCAGGTGAATTGCGGACAGTCCCCGTTCCCTAGCTTGGTTAAAGCCTAGAATCTACAGTAGTAGATTCTAGCACCTTTTGTATATTGATTGGCTCATTGCCAATCATCATTTTGTATATAGATGCAAATAAATGGTTAATTACGAAAGTGTGTTGTGTTTTGTAATTGGGTACGGTCAATCGTCACAGCTGTTACATAACACCCACTACTGTCACGAAACTTTGGAGCTCTTGCGCGGTTCCAACAAATTTGACCAGAACACTGAGTCAAGCACAGTCCAAAGATGTTCAAATTAACGGGACAAGACTGGTAGAAACAGAAGGTCCCAACTAATTATCATGCAAAGTGGAACTATGGTTAGTTAGATGAGACAGGAGACAGTCGCTGCTTTGGCGAATCAAACAATTAGGGTCGTATTTTGTGATTACTAGTAGGAGCCGTATTTGACAGAATGGGCTTATATTTTTGGGATCATTTATTATTTTTGGGATTGGGGTAAGCCATTCTCGGGGAAGTGAGAAGGGCAGCACTACCTAGCTGATTCAAAAACAATAAATCGGCAATCAAACCGCTTACACGCTGATGAAATGCTTTATCATTGCACAATTAATTGATTCGAATTCAAAATCTGTTCTTAAAGACTTACATAAACCAATATTATCCACGGCTCATGACCAAAAGTGTGCAAAAACCTTCACTTTTGAGTTAATATACAATCAGTATTTACCACCCTTTCATGGCATTCACTCGGTATGTGTGCATATGTCAAATTCCACATGTTTTAATAAAGTCTGCTCTCTTAGGCTCCTTCCATCATGTTCACGAAAGGTTGAAACTACTAGCCCAGACTTTGTGAGTGTATCAGAAGATCAACGATGCTGGCGTTGGTACCGCCGAAACCAAACGAGTTCACAACGGCCATCCTGGGCCTAGGCCATTCAGTGACCTGCCGCAAAAGTGCTAAACCGTCGTCCTCGTCCGACTCATTCAAATTCAAATTTGACGGTAATTTCATTTCACGAATAGCCTCCACCGTTGCAATGACTTCAACTGCTCCAGCTGCAGCCAGTAGATGCCGATATGACCTGAAAAAGACTTTCTCTGCTTTGACCCCAGAACATGAGTGAACCAGTATACAGAGCCTTTGAATGGTGAAAGACAGGGATGTTCTCCGGCCCCCCCTTTTTTTTTTTCCCGGAAAGACTTTCACGCAATGGCGAGCGCTTCTACGGTATCGCCATGGGGGAGATTGTCGCATTAAGCGGTCCTCACAATACTACCTGACTTCGCTGGAGCTAATTTTAGCGTCCTTAATCGCCCGCTCCATAGATAATCGCGCTCCGATACCTGATGGATCGGGACTGGAAATGTGGTAACAGTCAGACGAGATTCCTGAAAAAGACAAACAGTGTATCCAAAAATCTGAGGAAACAGGCGAAAGAATGGATATTCAAATTGCAAATTGCGAAGAGGATTGTACGTACCGTAGCCCATTATCTCTGCCGGGGACTGGGGAGCGCCACGGTCAAGAGCATCCTGATAACATAAGCAGTTAATGGAGTTACTAGCTAATAATCCGAAGCTTACTTGTAACCGCTCGAGGAGCACCAGTCCGACTCCTTCACTGAGAACGAAGCCATCGCGTTGTTTTGTCGAATGGACGACTACACGTGGTACCTTTTACCATGTACATGCCGGCAATTCTAAAAGCAACAGCTCTACATGAAACATCTGAACTCCGGCAGAGCGAGAATCATGAAAGACATGCAGTGTTCTCAGAAATGTACGCCGAATTCTGCGTCAGCGCTTTGGCACGACGACTAAGATTGCCCTTGACAAAAAATTCGCCTCAGAGTCAAGAAACGTTCACGAAAATTGACTTGAACTACAATTTCCGTTTTTCTGATTCTCCATGGCACTGCCTCACCTCTAATACCCGACATTCCTCAAGCAGAAACTGAACCAATTATTTATTGTGACCGGCCTTTCGAAGATCTCCTGAATCTGTCGTCGCTCAGTAGAACACGCAGAAAGGGGCAAAATGTCATGAAATTCTCAAAGTTTACCTATCCCTTGCGATGGGTCACGAATAGGAGTTCCAATCAAAATTGTGGGATACGTGGCTGCGAGTGTTGTGTCTCCGTACTATCTCCACTTAACCTATCAAATCCGACGCAAGTGCCACCGCATTCACACAACCTTCCGATGCGCCGGCAATCGCACGTCGAAGCCCACCCATGACGAATGGCTCGGAATGCATTTCCTGAATAATTGCCACTTCAACACTAACTTTGTCAAACACCTTTCCTCTCGTAGATAGGTAGACGTATAAGTTTTGAACACTTCACAGGCCTATGCAATGAAGTCCCGTTGCACAAGCTGTCGCGGTGCTCTCTGCTCCACCCTTCATGCCATACCTTAAATGAAGAACTGTGGACATGATCGTTGGGGCACAGTTATAAGACTTATTATCGTCTGATCGTCCGATCGGATCGGAAAACCGACCCGTGCCTAAGCTGTGCGATCGTTATGACAGCAAGATCGACTATGGCAATACCCTATCAGCCGCTCCACCTTCTAATGTTGGGAGCAGCTGAACCTTCATTAGAGGACGCTGAGAAAACGCGATAAGGCTTCAAACAGATTGCATCTAAACAATTAAATTGTAAATCATATCTACTCACTTCATAGCAACGTATCCACATGGTAAATTGGTTAGAATCCGTGGAACAAAATAAGGAAGAAACTTTTGCTGAAATGTGGAGGATAGTCACAAATGTTAAGAGAGCAGAGGAGCAACAAGAGAAATATAGGTGGTTCTATTTATATCGCCTGGTAAGCAGCGGGAGATCTTCCGACAACAAAAAGTTGCACGGCTTATACCTCGACTGTCCTTTGTCGACCAAAGCTACGGTCCTGCCTATTTCTAACAGATCTGAAACTCCAGTTCCAATATTTACCAATGTATCGGTGTGGTCGAGAGAGTGCGCGTTAGATGAAGTTATAGCCTGAAAGTGCACAGTGGACAGATTATTTCCTCTAACCACAAGTATATTTTTTCTACACAGCTGGCAATGTCTACCACGGTTGTCGTATTACATTCGTTGTGTGAGGAGAGCATATATTTTTTCCCCTGCAGAAACGCTACATCATCATTCTGCTCAGACATACATACTCTATAGAACCGAAGCGCCTACTTCCTCTGCGGCTAATAGCGCCAGCTGACTAGCTCTGCTCATCTCCCGCTTTTGGCCGGCCGTCCACCGCTGGAAGACGTCTTCTTCATCCGGAATGGCTCCGACCTCAAAGGAAACGTTGATCAGAATTGTTACCAATGAATTCAATGATGTATGAGTGGTAAAAAAACCGCCACAAGAAGTGTCAAAATGAAACAAAAATGATGAAAGAAGGAGGTAGGTAAGCTTGAGACTCAAAATCCAAGGATGCGGAGGGCCAAGAAGAAAGAAAAGTTAGCGAGAGCAGATACCATCAATCTAGCCCCTATTTTAACCGGCCCGGTACTTCATAATAACAGATCACTATGATCTAGCAATAAAAATATTGAACTATATGAAGGGTTAACCACGGCCTTACCATGAACCCTAATTCTTCCGAGAACTTTAATGCCGAACGTGATTCCAACAGCAACGCTTTTCTGAGCAGTGGCACACCAGCACCATAGGGTGTCACGGCACCCATACCCGTGATCACCACTCGATGCATTTCAGCAATCTGAATCAGAAAGTCTGTTCACAGCACATAAAAATAGCCTGCTTGCCTCTTTAGGTCGCAGCTTGCACAGGCATGTGTAGCCCGTCAGGTGCGATCTATTAAATTACTCTTACCCTAATGTTTGATAGCTACTTAAAAATAAGGACACGCCCTTGTTTTCCAATGCATTTCATTGAAATAAAGGATTTGAGTACTTCAGAACTGTGCTGTAGCCAAATTGAGACAGACTTACATTTTTGAAAGCAACATTTTTTATTTGATACAACTATTTCAACAATGCATCAAACATCAGCAAATTAACAAGGAATGGCTTCAGATGCTGAATATAACAAGGAAAAACAATAAAAAAAGCAAAAAGCTGAGAATGGGCAATCATTATCACAATTCTCTCGAGACTATATGGTTTAAAGGAATGTGGTAAAAAATAAGAGATCCTACTCTAATAAAACCTCTATCTTCTTTGCCAATTCAATGAATGCTTTGGCCATTGCTGAGTCGGGATACTTTTCGAAGAAATCTTCTCCATTGTCCAGTGCCTAAAGGTAAAAGTTCAATAAACACTTCCTCGGCAGTCTTTCACTATCAGAGTATATGCACTTCCAAGACGTTAGAAAACTCGTCTCAGGAATACCAACCGAACGAATCACTCGTTTTCAGCCGCCTCTCCCACATACGTAAAAACCGGCTGGCAGACTTCCCCTGCAAGAACGGTTGCATTAGCAATTCGCGAGCGAGTTGGCGCTTCGCCTAGCGAATCGCGACAAGAATTGGAAGACCGTACCATGCGAGCCCGGACACTGTTTGGAAGTGGGGGCTCATTTGAACAGTATGCGCCCCCCTCACCCATTTCCCGGTGTCCGAGTGCGGCATCCTGTGGGAGTGGCCGAGGCTCCGTCGAGCAGTAAAGAGACTGGTGAAGATAGAGATATCCACAACGACAGGCAACGCTCCAGTCACTTACTCAAACAGCTCTTCAGTCGCCTGATATCCATATCGTCCTCCTTGACTGCGCCCTCCCCGGCACATCAGTCCTGCAAACTCAGCTGCGCAACGCCTCGCACCCTGCGATTATCGCTAGCGAATTCCTGAGTCGCAATTCAAACCATCCCTTTCTGCACCATGTCCCTTGCGTCTACTCCCACTACAACAAGTAAAGATCCGCCAGCAATGCCTACATCCGCCCAGCAACCGAGCAGGTCCTCCCAATCACTGGGCTTTCAGAAGCCCTTACGCACATCTTCCCCTCTCTTCACACACTAGTTGGCGCTCCTCCTTGAAAAGATACCACCTTGCAACCAACTTGCCACTGTCTTCGAAGAGCCGCCCTGACAGGTGCGGACTCGCCCAGCCTAGGACGCGCCAAATCGTACGTCTACATCTTTATGAGATAACACCAACTAGACCCTGTAGTGGCAAGTAAACGATATGTGCATGATTGGCAATGTGGACAAACGACACTTGCATATTCCCTCTCTCAAGAACACAAGGATAGGGAACCTTCGTTTGTGACAGACCGGACTTCACCTAAATGTGCAGCGATGCTATGGCACACATTAGTATTACGCCTTTCATACAGCAGCAAGAGAAAAAAGGTCAAATACATTCAACGACTGCGCCTCTGAAAAACTCCGATTACTTCAAAGTAAGAGGCCACGCCCGCATTGCGAACCCCCAGTTCCTAATCCCTGCAATTGAGCTCCAGAAGCTCTTCCAAAGTTCAACGAATCGATCAGCTTCTACTCCCTCACGGGTCTCTTCTTGGTTTGCAGGAGGTATGTTATTCTTGCGTTTCAATGAGGCATAAAGCTCAATGTGAAAGGGCGGACGAGACGGTCAATGTCAGATCAGGTCAGCTAAGTGACCGTCCACGCGCCCTCACCGCGTAGCGCGCAGCCCCCAGGCATCCTCGCTCCCCACCGCCGCACCGCGCCCAGTCATGGACACAGCGGCGATCTCCTGTGGGGACCTGTTCTGAAACCATCCATGGTCCAGTCAAGTGCCAGTGCCACCTACTAAGTACCAGCCCATCGCCAGACATCAGCAAGCCAGACCAGCGGCCCACCTTTTAAGGTCTCCGCACATGATCATTAACCCTCCCCTCTCCACGCCTGCCAAAATCTCACTCTCCATGCACAAAGTCTCTGTCCTTTGAATCTTCCACCTTTGACCACCGAGTTTATTAATAGGTTGCCTTGAATTTTTATCACGGAGCTCGAGTGGATTCTGGCTCAGACCGTAGGTAAGAACGCTGTCAGCTTATCCAAGACGCAGAGGAGGAACGGTGAGGAAAGTACTAAGCATAAGTATGATAGGATAAGTTTGTAATAATGGCAAGGGGCGAAGAAACTGCATTTCAAGGGGTTTTGGTGATTCCTATTCCATGTTTAATGACTGAAAACTTCATCTAATCTTACATTTCCAAATGTTGTGGATGCTAAGTTCTTTGCGAATTCCTGCGTCATCGCGGGCTGCGGCAGCTGGAAACGCGCCGACCTAGCCCACCTGCCACGTCGTAATAGTCACGCTACACCTTTGAAAACAGTAACAATTCATCCTAATGCCAGGATCTAAGGGACTAACATAAGCCAGGAGAAGAGAAAGGTCTCCCTGAAAGAAACGAAGATTGCGAACAACCCGGGGACCTTTCTCTCCCTTCTAAGCTTACTTTCTTACGCTAGCAGAATATGCTATCCGTAGTTTTAAAGACGTTGAGCGCTCCAAACCGCATGCCCCTCCTAAATGGAACAAACCCAAAAATTTCCGCTTGCGGTCGGGATGCTAACAAGGAAATGTGGAGGGAAATCCAAAAGTTCACTAATGAATAACTACTCACCTTCCTTCCGAACATCGAGCAAGTGACACTTCCTGTGGGGTGCTGACAATGATTGCACCGTCAAGACTCCCTGCTTGCAGAAGGAATTGCACCAAAGAGATGTGCTCATCAGAAGTGCCTGGTGGAGTGTCTATCAACAGGTAGTCAACCTAAAAATGTCCAATTCACAATATGAGAAAAAATCAGTTCTGGATCTTTCATTGGAGATGCATAGGAATGCTCAGAAAAGGGCAATTACGACCCGTGAAGTAACACTTACCTCTCCCCAATCAACATCACGCAGAAACTGCTTGATCATGCCATTTTTACGAGCGCCACGCCATATAACAGCATCGTTCTTATTTCCTGTAAGGAAACCAATACTTTTACTTTTTGCTTTATTTTTTAAAATTTACTGTGTCATATGAATATGATTAGGATTATTATTTAGGTCTATATTTACAGATCTATGTCGATAAGGACTTCAAGAGAAATGCCAGCGATCAAAAATCGAGTAAACAGAAAGAAGTGTAAACAGAACAAACCCAATAGAAAAGCAATGCTCATAAGCATAAGATTATCCTTAACAGAAACAGGTGTCCATCCGTCAGCACTGTCGTGTACCTCCTCTTGCTCAACACCCAACATACGGGGTTGTGAAGGTCCACAGATATCCACATCCAGGATTGCTACCTACAAAATTCGTGAAGTGTTTGCTGTTAAGTAACGAATCATGAGAGTTGATGTTGAAACGGTACCTACCTGCTTTGTCGGATCAGAAGCTAATGCTCTTGCAAGACTTGAAGTGACAGTACTTTTGCCAACTCCTCCTTTTCCGCTAAGAATCAATATCTGAAACCCTTCGAATTAGTGAGTATACGTATTGGAGATGGCCAACAATCTAATCTTCGTCCCACGTCTACTAGATTTGCGTCTATGGAAATCTCCATATAACACACTTATAGCATAGTCAATCAGGCTACGGTAAATCAAGGTTCAGCGGTTAAGCCTCGCACTTCGCTCTTCGGACGCGATCCCCGACCGCACTCACCATCAGTGTTGTAATAGGAAGAGAGTAATAAACTACATAGGTCTAACATCAGTGAAGAAACGAAAACTAACATGACTTCAGATATGCATCTTTCCCCCAACTTTTTCACTTAGCGCACCACCCCTGTAAAACACGCTTCTCTTGGTTAACCATCCTATGACTTATACTGGTGCAACAGCAAAGTCCTCCGTCTTCCAATTTAATTGCCCTGTTACATGTTAAAGCTTTGAATTCAAGACCAGATGATGGAAAAGAATTGCATTCCTTAACTTTTATAAGAAAAAAGAATTACAACAAGGAGTGGTGAAATTTCCTGTAAGAAAACCACTACGGATATAACGGGACAGTTACCCAAACAAAAAAGTACCTTGTGCTTAATGTGACGAAATCGGTCTTGAAATGACCTGATATCAGTGCGTCTCGTTTCGTGGCTGACCAGTCGACCCCAAATCCCTACATATACCGCTTGGTATTGACATTGTTGGACCTAGAACTTGAGCAGTGAAAAACATATGGGAACCTTAGCAATCCTCTTGAGCAATAGCAGCACAGTGGGAAGTGACCAAATTTTCTATAAGCGCTCAGGTTGTCAAACCCAGGCTTGACTTCGCCCGGAGAAAGTGAGCCTTCTACCCCAAAGTTCGCCATTTGGTAACAGATCCGTCCATCAGGACAAAAACACTGACTTTACATGGATGACTTTTGCAATTCAGTGTCTAGGTCTAAGTTCAACTAGAGTGTCCATCATGCACCCCTGCAATAGTTAAGGGTCGAAGAGCCCCTCGGCGCATCCCGGAAATGATGCGAACGCTCGGATAACATGCACGTTCGATTTTTTTAGTCACCGATTCCTATTACAGAAGCCTTCAGCGTAAAAGTGAAGAGAATCCTTACTAAAAGGGTGGCTCGTTACGTAAGTGCCATGTAATGCATTCCTATATTACACGTGACTCTCAATTCCCGGCGGATATAAATGCCGGGTTGAACGTAACTAAGACCATTTTGTAAAAGGGAACTCGGAGAAAACTAAACTTCGCCATAGACCCCCCCTCTTTTTAAAACATATGGAAAATCTGTTTGTAAATTTCTAAAAAGATGGCTAAATGCTCTACGAAATTCTTTAAGACAATCCTCCTGCCAAGCTTAACATAAGAGCTAAAGCAAGGTTCGAAGATCAAGAAAGAAGAGCGAAACTTATCATACCTGGTTCGGACAACCGGCACATCCAATTTGCCTTCCCAGCACCTTCGCTTCCCACTCCTGGGCATCCAGCATTTGCATTTGCTGGCACATCTGCCATGGCTAAATTTCTTTGACTGCACAAGTGAACTTAACACGTTTAACATTCACCGATTAGACGTAGGCAGCAAACAAAGCCAGCTCAAAAAGAACAGCTAATGCTGCCAAATGCACGAATGTGCACTGGGTAGTGATTATTACAAATCAAGTTCATGATGAACACTGAGAAATTTGCTCGTGCAGTGTCTCTGAATTCGAAAGACTTGGTACGGTATAATTGCTCGTGAAAAAAGTGTGATGTCCGCACATTGCTGAAACACGTACAGTACACCATAATTTGCGTCTGTTCAGCAAAACTGCTCCTGATATTTGCTTCTCCTTCGCTTCATTGGTAGAAACGTCAGCACTAAATTGTCAGGTAGTGATATTTTCGGGATATTCGTATTGATTATAAGGCGGCAGTGTGGTAAGCGAGTTTGGGGGACATTGCGGCGGCGCGGTGCTCCTCTTAGGCTGGTGTCAGGGTCCGCGATCCGTCGCCAGGTTTCACTGATTTTTGCGTTTAGCGCGGGTGGTGCTAACTTAGTTGGGGGGGGGGGGGGGGGCACGCGGCGGCGCGGCAGTCTGCTCGCCTGGCATGTTCGGAAATCCGTGGGCCAGGGGGAGTGTAGCCAGCCTAGGGGGGTGGGGGTGGGGGCAGTCACTTGACATGCGTGAAAAGCTGGAATGTTCGAGTTTACACTGTCTCGCTCGAGAGAGCCCAGGTGAGCAGACTGCCGCGCCGCCGCGTGCCCCCCCCCCCAACTAAGTTAGCACCGTCGCGCCGCTTCACGCTGATTTTCGCGATTTTTCGCATTTGCGCGACGGGTCACGGAAATCACAAGTGCCCGATCAATACTGCAAGGTTCTCCAATCCTGCCGCCACTTCTGCTTGATAGTGATGGCTGAATGACGACTGCTCGCATAATCTTAAATCAAATCGGCATTAAAAATCGCGCAAATCGAGTGAATCGCGAAAATCAGCGAACCTGCGACGGATCGCGGACTCTGGCACCTAGCCTTAGGTTGTTTATAGTCGGTCTCCTATCGCATGGGTCGTACAACATTAGATATGTATCGGTCTCCAACAAATCTGGAGATCGTTACGTATTTGATATTGCGCGATCCCTACGATCGCACAACCTACCATGGAAGCGCGATAGTACTAAACGTGAGCCTTGGGACGAAGGCTCAAAAGTGGTAGAATTGTGCGAAATTCACAAATCACACTTTTTGCCTCCGACAAACTACGGCAAACCTATTTTTTGCTTTCAACGAACGAACGAATCACACGCCGCGCCGCCGGGTTTCAAGCCCGTTTCAGGGTTCTCTCAATCTCGGTACATCAAATGTTCTTGTGTTTGTAGGCATCAGCTAGGACTTGCAAGCTCTCCAATTCCCCACCTTCAAAACATGGTAAAGGTATTTCTGTCAAGGATGCCGACCACAAGCATAAAGTAAAGCGTCTGAAGAAGAAAGTTAAAAAAGCTGACAAGGTAGAAGCGACTCCAGTTCAAACCGATGAAATAAGATGTGCGTGAGTTCTCACAAACGGTTTTTTAAACTTAGTGATTTTTCCGTTTATTCACCTGTTATTTTCTTGACTAAGCATGGTAGCAAGGTTTAAAGTTAGTATTCATAGTTTTCTTTGGTATGTCCTACATATTTGGCTCCTATTTGGCCTCTAAGGGTATTTGAAGACCATCATTTGTCCCATGCATTACCAGTTTCAGCCGTCGTAGAACCTCATTGGCCTCGGCAGTACTCTTTCCACGGGCTGTGACCGAGATAATTTCTGCCACTATAGTATTAAGTTTGAGAAAAGTTTTGAAGCGCCTTGTTCGCGGTCCCGCTGGTTCTTTGGCCCAAATGACCTGAAATCTTCAATGGGTAAAAAAGAATGAAGAGGAGTGAGCTGTGCTGCTCGCGATGCTCCCAGTCAACTTTTCCAATAATAGCGTTCACAATCGCCATCTCCCGTAAGACCATCAGAACGCCCATCCTGTGCGAATCGGAATGAATAGGAATTGTAAGCAATATCAGGGGGTAAATTATAGCCAAGTTTTGAAGGGAAACTATTAGTTTTAGAGAGTTAGAGTTGGTTCTGGTTGGAAAGTTAAAGTTCTCCGTAATCCTTGCTCTGACGGTTCCCGTACTATTTCAACGGAATTTCCAGGCTCATTATAGCTTTCTTCACCTCTTGCGTTAACTATTTGGTTCCTTTTTCTTCGAACTTTTTGGCTCACTGCCTTATTCCCTTCATTGCCGCTATGCGCAACCATCACAGAAGGTGAAAGCGCGAAATCACATTTTTTGGTAGTCACTGAAACATCTAACCATAAGCCACACTTTGTTGTTTTCTCAGATCTCCGCTATTCTGTGAGCGAGCGCTACCCTACTCCTCGGCAGCTATTCCTGAAGTTTGACAAGTCCAATGAGTTCTCACTCATTGTTGGAAATGTACCGGCTTACTTGCCCAAGGTGGGTGTGGCTTACTTTCCTTCGTGTTTGTCTTTCTTTTTTTCCCTCTCAAGTTTCCGCCCCAACGT